GCTGCCGGGTTGGTCCAGTAGCGCCGTCCCTGGTCGGATCCACGTAACTCGGGGACTGCCTGTACTATGTTAACTGCTATAGCAGAGCCAGAATGTTGTACATTACCAAAAAATAGCTGGCATTTCTCCAGCCCTTACCACACAAATTAATGACAAGTCAGTAAACTCAGAGCCCAAAGAGAGCTACTTAGAATCCAAAAGGATTTTTAAAAGTATTATTTAGTGTCAAAACGTGAGGGATTCCACTCTATGAAAAGTAAAACTCCACTTGAATCATTTTCTAAACAGTACAACCTTCAGTGTTTGACACCACTTTCTTCAGTAGGTGCTGGAATTCTTAAAATAGAAACCTTAATATACATAGCTCAAAACAAATTACAAGCAGGATAACTGTTTGCAGAACCATCACAGAGATTACTGCAATGCTGGCTAATAGGACATAACAGACAGCAAAAGGAAAACACCTCTACAGGCAGCCAGCTTTATAAAGGAAACCCAATCTGGACCCCATTCATTAAACCATTGGCAGCAGACCCCCACCAGCATGAACCATTACCTGTATAGCAGGAGGAACAGTAGGGAACAGTTTCTTGTTATCAGTGAAGTCTTCAACACGAAGGGTGGCAGACATAATGATTAGCTTCATAGGCTGCCCTTTCTGTGGAAGTGCAAATGTACAGTGTTACACTGCAGTCTGACCACTTGTAATCATTGATATAGCACTAGACATGTGCAAATGCATTGTTGTAATAGATACCAATGAACAAAACAGGTAATCATCAAGTGATCCCTCCACTGTCACCCATTCCCAGCTTCTGTCACCCATTCCCAGCTTCTGGCAAACAGAGGCTAGGGACACCATCCCTGTTCCAACCTGGCTAGTAGACATTGATGGATCTATCCTCCTTGAACTTACCAAACTCTTTTTTGAGTCCTGTTGCAGTATTTGCCTTCACAACATCTTTTGGCAAGGAATTCCACAGGTTATCTGTGTATTGTGTGAAAAAATACTGCCTTTTGTTTGTCTTAAACCTACTGCCTATTAATTTCATTTGGTGATCCCTAGTTCTTGTGTCATTTCCTAATTTACATTTGCCACCCCAGTTATGATTTTAGACCTCTATCATATTCCCCCTTAATCATCTCTTTTTCAAACTGAAAAATCTCAGTTTTATTAATCTCTCCTCATGGCAGCTGTTCCACACCCCTAATCAATCTGTATCATCTGCAAATTTTACCACCTCATTGTTTAATCTTTTTTTCCATACTATTTATGAATTTGTTAAGTAGGAGTGGTTCTTATGCAGACTACTGAGATCACTATTATTTATCTCTCTCCACTCTGAAAAATGACCATTTAGTCTTACTCTCTGTACTATATTTTAACTAGTTACCAGTCCCCGAGAGGACCTTCCCTCTTATTCCATGATAGTTAAAATTGCTTAAGAGCCTGAGGTAAGGGACTTTGTAAAAGACTTTCTGAAAAATCTAAGTCATAAGACAGATGTGCTCTAACAGGATGTGAGTGTTGGGAAGAAAGCCCACACCTCTGATTGTCCTTGTTAAGGGTGTATTAGTCTAGGCGAGTAACCGATAAGCAAAAGTTTATAGGTTAATGCTATAGACTACACGGATTTCCCCACCAAAAATTTTTTTCCCAGCAGCCTGTCTCAGTCCCAGCTGGTGCCAGGTCCAGGAGCATGGAGCAGCACTAGGGGCCCCCCAGCCGGTCCACAAGGGGAGCTGGTTTTTAAACTGACTCCCCTTGTTGACAAACTCCCGCCTGGTACCACGCACTTCTGCTTCTGATAGAGAGGCAGCAGCATGGAGTGGCAGGGGGCTCCCCAGGAGTGGGGCTGGAGCACATTGGTTGCCAGCCCCACCTCCGGGGACTATAGAATAGTCAACTAACCAATAAGAATTCAGGAGGTTAATCAACTATTCAATTAACTGATATTTAACATCCCTAGTTCTCACAGCAGCTATAAATGGTGGTCAAAGAGAACTCCTTATTGATAGAGAAGAGCAAGAACAATGCCCCAGGGGAGAGAGGCATGTGGATGTCTGAGCTGCAATGCTGTACTCAGTGACAAGTTGTGGTAATCATGAGAACACACAGCAGAACAGTGGTGGCCAGAGGAAACTCCATGAGATCTTGAGGAGCTTAGTGTCAATGGAGGGGTCATCAATACTGGTGGATAGATTTGTGGTTGCAGGCTTGGTGAACAAGGAAATGGCTCAACAGATTTTGACTTCACTTTTGCTAGCACCACAGTCTTATCTGCCATTGGTATCTCTGGCGCTGCTGGTGTTGAGGACCTATTCAGTTCCTTGCCACTTGCCTTTTTTGGTGCGGGTGGTGGTGGTACAGTTTTCTGGATGGTGCACAGCTTCCGGTCCATTACCATCACAGCACGGGGCGTCCAGTACCGGAGATGCCCAGCTGATATCCCATACTCACTCTCAAAGGTAGGGAGCGGACTGGCGAAACCCTTTTCTTTGTGGACTTGGGTCTGAGGAGCAGGAGCGGCTCAAGGAGAGCTGCCGGCAACTGGCACCCTAGGCGGAATGTGCGATTGGTGCCCCTGCCGTCATAGCCCTCAATGGTGTGACGTCATCATTGGGTGCCGCGTTAGACGCGGCACCCTAGGCAACTGCAGAGGTTGCCTACATCCATGGGCTGCCCCTGGTGAGGAGCCAAGTCTTTAGCCTGCCTACTAGTCCTGTCAGCCTGGCTGCATTTGTCTCCACTGGTTTGGGGCTCTAGAGCCTTATCGAAAAGCAGCATATGCAGCCTCAGCTCCTTGGGCTCTGGTGGTGAGGCTGCAGCAGTGAACACATTTCTGGGGAACATTGGCTTCAACCAGACAACGTATGCAAGACCCACGGCCATCTGAGGAAAACACTGGGTCATGGCATTTTTCACATTTTCTTGAAGCCTGGGGACCCGGATATGACATCTGCAAGCCTTTGTCTTCTGCCTTCTTTTCTTTTTCGTACTGCTCTGTGAGAGATGGGGTTTTTTTTAAATTCGGTATGAATCAAAGTTGGTTCAGAGGGTTTTAATTTTGACTTCTTATTTACTATTCTCTACTTATCCTTCTACTCTATTTTTATTTTATTTTTTTAAACAAAGGTCTGAGGGGGCCACTGGCCAGAGACTAATGGGCAGCCATCTGAGAAATGTTGAGGCAACAATTTACAGGAAATTTTTTACTAAGTAGCAATAACATTTGGAAACCATTTTAAAAACTAGCTCTAACTAAACTCTTGTCTCTAGGAATCACAAGAGTGGAGAGGACTCAAGCTCCATCTGTGACTGAGGTTGGTAATGAAGAAACTGAAGACATGTGGATTGTGTGCATGAACTCCAAAGGCATAAACGGCATGCAACCTATGCCTAGCCACGCATGCACGGCCCAGCCAGACATGGTTGGAAACCATTTTAAAAACTAGCTCTAACTAAACTCTTGTCTCTAGGAATCACAAGAGTGGAGAGGACTCAAGCTCCATCTGTGACTGAGGTTGGTAATGAAGAAACTGAAGACATGTGGATTGTGTGCATGAACTCCAAAGGCATAAACGGCATGCAACCTATGCCTAGCCACGCATGCACGGCCCAGCCAGACATGGCTAGAAAAGTCTCTGATCTGCAGTGCCAGGACGAGCTAGACACCAACAATGGAGCACCCACAGGGACATCACTCAAAGAACCACTAGTGGATCCCCCTTGTTTACATGCTTGTTGGTGCCTCAAAGAATTCTAGTAGATTGGTGAAGCATGGTTTCCCTTTACAAAAACCATGGTATGAAGTAGGTGCAAGATTCCCATAGGCCTAGGGGAAGTTTCTTCCTAATTGTTGGCTTCTACCTTGAAAGATGAGGCTTTAAATCCGAATGTAATAGTGAAAGTCCTCACTTTCTCTATAAATGTTGAATTTTAAATCCCACTCAGTTCTTGGACTTGATGTCTTGTGGTAGAGTTTACACAAGTTAAATGGGTATTGTGTAAAAATGTTGTATCATTTTTATCAGTGTTTAAGTATATTACCTGTCAGTTTCACAGCACATCCTCCAGTTCTTGCAATATAAGAAAAGACAAAAGGGCTCTTTACCTCACTTTATTTGCTATGAACTATTTAATCTAAATGAATTTCTCTCTCATTTCTGAGCAAAAGACTTAATTTTTCCACTCTCTCCTCACAAAGAAGCCTTTCTATGCATTTCCCCATTTCTGTCCCCCATTTTTTAACACATATGCGTTCCAGATAAAAAGCACAACCACCTCTGCTTTTCTTACCTTTCCACGAAGAGGGACGATGCGAGATAGGAGGCCAATCAGGATATCTGTGTACACACTTCTTTCATGGGCTTCATCAATAATGATCACTTTGTACTTCAAAAGCAAGAAGTCCTGGAAATAAAAGAGGGAAGCTGAGAAATCTCTTCACATCAAGCCAAGCCCTAAGCAGATCTGTCTCTATCTTAATGTTGGGTCAGTAATCTCAGTCTTCATTTAGTAGCTATGTAGCTTTATATGATTCTCCCCATTACTGTGGTATCTGAGAACATCACAGTCTTTAGTGTACTGCAGTGAATTGTCTTGAAACTGGTTGTGCCTCATGGGCGTAAGAGGCAAGGTTGGTGGCACAAATTAGGGATCATATGTCCTCCTAACAAGACTGTGAAGTAAGGAAGTGCTATTATCCCCATTTTACAGGTGAGAAGCAGATGTACATCCATAGCCTAGCCATAGTTCATAGTCTAAATGACTTGCCTAAGGTTATACAGGAAGCCAGTGACAACGGGTTTTCCAAGATGCAGGTCGGTGCCTTAATCCTTGGACCAGCCTGAGGGCTTGTCTAAACTAGTGGTTGCCAACTTTTTTTATACTGTGTCCTGGCAAGCCCATTCACAATTTTTTGGCAGACTGGTAACATTTTATTTTGCATATTTATTATACCAGTTGCGACCTCCAGAGCCGCCGCAAAAAGCTGGTTTCAGCTCCAGCTCCTGGTCACTATACAGCAGCTCAGAGGGCTCGGGTATACTCTGTCCCCAGCCCCCAGAGACGCCACAGCCAGCTGGCTTCAACTGCAGCAGCAGCTGTGGCCTGGCAGCCAGCGGTTTGTGGCCCAGCACCAGTCTGCTGATTGGCAGTTAGGAACTATTGGTCTAAACTATGGGCTGAATAGACAGTGCAGTGGATCAATCCAGCGGGATTTGATTATCACATCTGGTATAAACACAATAAATCAACTACCCATCCATCTCCCATTGGGAGTACTCCACTTCAACGAGAAGTACAAGGGGAATTTATGGAAGAGTGTCTCCAATCAACACACCGCTGCAAAGACACTGGGTACATAGATCAGGTATGTTGACTTCAACTATGCTGTTCAGCTATGCTATTCACTTAGCTGAAGTTGCTTAACTTAAACTGGTCTCCCACCTATACTGTAGACGATGTGATAAAGAAATCCCCATACCTATCATGGTTAATGCAGCAGCTGAAACAGGAAGTATACCTCCAACAAGCATAAAAAGAATGATCATAATCATCTAGTCCTCAAAAATACAACTGCTGAAAGGGGTTTTGTTTTAGAAAGAAATGCTTGTTCTCATGGCAAGTCCTACCAAGAATGTGTGGAATTTCTCTCTAAAGACATTAAATCCCTTCTGTTTTTTCATTGCAGAAAGCAATTTACCTTCTGAATTTCTTTGAGTAGCACACCATCCGTCATGAACTTAATTTTGGTTTCATCTGTAACATTTCCTTCATAACGTATTTGATATGAAACAGTCCTGTAGAGAAAAATGCATCTGTATTACACAAAGCAACACTCTAATTAAAAAAAAAAAGCATTATAGACCAAAGGTTAAAAACTGGGAAAGGAAGGAAAGTCAGAGTTCAGGTTAGAACTAGGGATGCCAATGCTAAAAATCTTACTAGTTACATACACTGTGAGATCTGCAATATAAAGCTTAAAAAAGTTGTAAACTGCATAGTCCACAGCAAAGCCTCCCTGGGAGTGGGGCAGACAAGGGCTACCAGGCTCCACTCCTGGTAAGGAGGCTTTCCTGCTGCATCAAAGCTACCTCTCCAGGAGTGGGTCCAGCTGGCCCCCCTGCCCTACTCCCAGGAAGGCTTTGCTGCAGGCTCCATAGCTGGCTGCCTAGGAGCAAGGTCAGCTGTCCCTGTTGGCCCCACTCCTGGGAAGCTAGCGTGTAACCTACAGGGGAATCAGGTGGGCCCACTATGGACAGGGACTGGGCCAGAGCAGTCCCTGCCTGCCACAGGCCCCACGGGGCTGAAGAGTCCCCTTCATAAGAAGCTGCTCCAATCACCACCAGGCTTAGCCATTAATCATTTACTTCCCTCGTTAGAACGTTGTCTTCAACATAATTCAGCTATGTCTTGATACCACAGCATAAAGTACATGGCAGATCACAGACTGCCTGAGTCCCAACTCCCCAGGCTCTAGCACAGAGCTGGGCAAAATATTGCCCGGGAGCTGGATCTGGCCCACAATGCCACAGGATCTCATCCACGGACCACGCAGCTGCTTTAGTATAAAACACAGTCCATGTGGCTCTCTACTCTGTATGGAGTGGGAGGCTTTGTGCTATCTCCCCTCTCCCAGTCCAATCCTCAGCTCCGAATGGCCAGAAACAACTGGCCAATAAGAACAACCTCAGCCAATCTCTCAGCTCATATTGGCTGGAAACAGCCAACCAATCAGAGCGGAGATTTTGGCCTGAGAAACTGGGTCAGCACAAGCCTCTTTCCGCACCCAGAGTTGAGAGCCAGGTGGAGAAAGCAGCCTGTATTTTCAAAGCTGTGGGGCTGCACCAGGCACAGAAAGTCTAACCTGCTTTGGGGCTGCTGCAGTCTGCTGGCCAGGAAACACTTAGGTAAACTCCTCCCAGCCCGCACCTGCCTCTGGCTCCCCAACCCTGCTGCACCCCAATTCCCTCCCCCAGGTCACCATCCAAACCCTCTGCACCCCATATCCCAGGTGACAACTCCCTCCCAGATTCTGTAGCCCTTTCTCCACCTCTCCCCCATGCCAGTATCCTTTCCTGTACCCAAAACCTCCCTCCCTATACCCCAATTCCCTGACCCAGATCTCAACACCTTCTCCACCCAAACACCCTTTCAGACCCCACACCATCTCTTGCACCCCCAGTCCCTTACCTCCTTGTGCCTTTCTGCACCCAACCTCCAACCTAGACCCTCCACAGAAAAGTGTGGCCCTTGACGACTTACCAAAATCTTGGTGTGGCTCTCCCAACAAACATTTTTGCACACCCCTGCTCTAGCACATGCAGGATGCTACTGTCCTATATAATATCTTTTCCCTTTAAGGAATCAGGATACAGAAAAGCTTCTTTTAAACTAGCCCAATGTTATGGCACACTTGCTTTCACCCATACACAGCATAGCTACATCTCCTTCCCCATCTCCTCAACAATTCACTGATGCCCCTATAAGGGCTCATGAACTTCAAAACCACTACAGGATTTTCTAGGCAGCAGCAGAGCTGAGTTCACAAAAACTACCTATGATTCCTCTGTGGAAAGGCTAGCAAAACAGGCTGCAGCTAATCTGACACCAAGATAACATCTCTCTAACTTCTCCCACTCTGCAGAAGATTTATACTAACAATAGGCTGCATTTTGTTGGTTGTGACTTTCCTAGTTAGCTAATGATCTTTCAGCCCTTACCTGTGTGATAAATTCATTTCCTTAGCAACCCGATGAGACATAGATACTGCGGCCACACGCCGTGGTTCTGTGATTCCGATGATGCCATTGGAACTAAACCAGAAGAAAAAAAGCTTTTACAAACAAATGTAGGCAAGAGGATAGGAGGATTTCCTCTGGGTGGATTTTGAATAGGGATGTCAATGTAGTCAATACATAATTAACCAATTAGTCTGCGCTTATTGGTTAATCCTATCGACTACACTCACTCCCCCACACCCTCACCATGCTGTCTCTGATACAGAGGCAGCAAAGAGGAAGCAGGAGGCGGTGCCTGTGGGGAGTTAGCTTTTAAATCAGCTCCCCACGAGCACTGGACCCATCCACCCCTGTGCTACTGCCTCAAAGAGAGGCAGCAGCGCAGAGGGCAAGGAGGACAGACAGGAGCCAGTACACATGGAAAGTGGCTATCAAGCTGGCTACCCACACATTTTGGCTTGCCCTCACACAGTGGCAGTGGCGTGGGGGTGACACAGGGAAGACTGCTGCAGAGCAGCCTTTGTCTGTAGTGGACCCAGGCTTGCTGTGGACAGAAGCTGTTTCATGGGATGCTGGCACAGCCTCTGTCTGCGGGGAGCTTTAGCTTCCCCCTGGATATGGGCTGCTGCTACTCTGCGCTGCTGCCTCTGGGGGCATGGTTTATCAGGTTCTCCTTGGTGGTTGGGAGGACCAGGCGATCCCTATCAATCTGGCTTCTCTGGGGAAGATACTAGTGCTGGAGAGGCAATACTGCAGAAGTGGTATGTTTACTGGAACTAAATGGGACTGAGCTGCAGCATCTTGGCTGCACTATCTAAAACTGTAAAAGGGGCCAACGCACACGGCAAGCTTTTGATGGTTTTTCACTATGTATTATGGAGTTTATTTCAATTTTGCAGTAAACCTAGGTAGAGTGTCTTGGAGACAGCTTTCCCCCTTTCCTACTTTCATGCTTAATGGCAATTACTACAGCCTTACTGTGACAAATAAACCAGTCATGTTTAAAACAAGGCAATAGTTTAAAAGCTCAAAAATAAATTATCTGGAGAGATTTTTGTGCAAATTAAGGCCTGCCCATATGGTTGTTTCCTAGATTTTTCTCCTTCAAGTTCATTTCAGCACCATCTAATGTAGGTACTACTATTGCTCTTAGCAGATACGGCATGAACAAAGAAGTCTGAAGCAGAAACAAAATTCTAAAACCAGAAAGGGATGGAACTTAAGTAAAAACAACACATCAATTTTTAGTATAAAAGAGCAGAATCCTACCTGGCATAGCCTGCTTCATACAGAAACTGAGGTACTTGAGTGGTTTTACCACTCCCAGTTTCTCCGCATATGATCACAACAGGATTCTCATTAATGGCTTCCATGATAACTTGTTCTTCAGCAAGGATAGGAAGTTTTAATCTTGCTTCCTATTGAAAACAAAACAGAAACTTTATTTCAGTTTGTGTCTCTTGATCCCTCTTTCTGCTTGGCCTTTTTAATGGGTCAAGTTCAGTTTTAAAAAAAGCTTTATGAAAAGTCAAAGAGTAAACGATTTTCCACCCAAAGTCATGAATGATATTTACTCATACAGTCCAATAATGTAGAAACAGAAGCAGCTGTACACCACTTTGTGATAATTCTTTCCCAATGCTTTATGAAAACTGGCTTATGACTATCAATATGCGTAACTCAGATATGCTTTTCAGAAAATACCTCATGTAATATGTCAATTTTAATGTAACAATCGGCTGGATCTGTATATCCTATTTTAGTGCAGGTATCATGTATGAGAGGTTAGAAATATGAGCATGAGACTGTTTATAGTTTTAAATATGCTAGTGAGTGCCATTAATGGTGCTCCCTTTTCCCCCAAAAAGCTTTAATGTGACCAACTTAACTTGTAAACAGCTTTGTTTGTCCTGTAAGACTAGTAAAACATGTGACTATACCATATGGTACTGGGATTACACTTTGACCATATTATTTTTCTGTGGAAGGGGTATGTAAACGAAAAGATTTCCACCTTCGGGGAAAGTCCATTTAAGCAATGCAAAGCTACCAGGCCTTTGTCTTGGGCTGGCTTGACACACTTCAAGGGAATACAAAGAGGGCTGGAGACCCAAGATGGAGTAAAAGTTTGTCTCTGACTTGAAGACTATGCCTGAAATAAAAACTTCTCTTTAGAATAAGAAACTGCTTGCCATAAGTATCTTAATGAATTAGAACTATCTATGAGTTTTCTTTTCATTTTAATATAGTAACTTACTTGAGCTGACTGATTTTACTTGCAACCACTTAAATCTTACAGTTTGTACTCAATAAAAAACACTTTTGTTTACTATGAAGCCCAGTGTAAATAATTGTCTCTCTCTTTTATTGATAAAGAGGGTGAACATCCTCATGAACTTTCCCCGTGTAGAACTTTTACACAGAGAAATGTGGATTTATTTGGGAAATTTTGGTCCCATATGGGGGTTGGTTTCCTGGGCACTATGCCCTAGAATTGCATCCTCCCAGAGCTGAAGTGGTTCAGTGTCTGCACTGATCTGTAGGAGGATGGTAATCCCAACACTGTGCCTTATCTGGGGGAGATCAGAGGATCTGGCCCAGCACACCAGGATGGAGGGGAGCCTCCAATGCGGCAGGTGTTAATGGCAAGATCAACATATTGGGGAACAATCCCATGGGGACTTTCATGTCCGCACCCCAACACACCCTTATATCTAGCATATTCTGGTAATATTCTATCCTCTTCAAAACCTGAAAGGTTTTACAATGAACGGTAAAACACTGCCAGACCAACCAAAAACTAGGGTCAGCAAAATATTCCATCCTGACTTCTCAAAAGGTAGCTTGCAAGCATGCAACTAAACCAATGCTCTTATTAATGCCATGTAGTTATCTAAGATTCAATTGAGTTTAACATTTCAGACATCCAGTATTTCACATGAAAACGTGTTCCATAAGCCACTGTTATATACCTGCTCAATGATAAGTGGACCCTTTCAAAGTTCTGCAGAATGAAATCTATCCAATACTACAGTTAGCATAATGGAGAATGAAACCCAGTTTAAGAAGGAAGATTTTCAATTCATTACATCAGAAGGTTTAAGATTCAGATCATTAACAGATTACATATTCAGAATTAGTAACAAATAGGTATGTTTTAAAACAAAATTTAAAGTCCTTTCCTTCTTTACTCGCTTGCCAAGTTCAAAGACCAATGTTACATACATGTCTAACCAGCAACAGCTAGTATCAATAACACTTAAAGCACTGCTAGAAATGCACTCTGCACTGTTGACTAATGCAGATGAATCCCAAAAGTCTGCTGTCAAGTATTTGCCTGCATTAGTCTGATGGCAAATACTCTGATTTTTCCTCCTTGAAGAATGTTTATTGTGATGAATCACTAACAAACACTGACCTGTATCTCAGGAGACCTGTCCACTGGGATGAAAACTGCAGGCTTGGAAGATGGCTTATGAGCAGCTTTTTGATGAGCTGGCATGTTAGGAAAAGCCTGATCACTATTCAATGGTTTCTTAATGCATTCTTCCACCTTTCCAAAGTTATAGCTGTGTGTGGCTATCTTTTCAATTGCTTCTTTAATCTCTTCCTCCTCATCAGAACTATCAGAAGATTCAGACTTTTTCTCAGCCTCCAGTTCCAGATCTAGTCTGCGCCTTTTTTTATTTGCACCACTGACACTATTAATCTTCTCTGGACATGTGGCACTTGCTTCTTGTATTGTCCTAAAACAGAATGTTTACACAACATGGGTTTTTGCCAATATAGTCAGTGTTTTCACACTTCAGATCAGATACACCCTACTCCTCCAAAAGTACATTAGGTTGTAATAAGTCTAATTTTCCTTCTCTCACCACAACTGCCCAACTATTTTAACTTTAAATAACTTACAATCAAGCAAAAGGAAGGGAATGAGGGAGGAAGGAAAGAAGGAAGGACCTATGTGCAAAACCAGAGACTGAGAAAGCAGTAATATGCCTCAGTCACAACAGCAGCAACAGATCGAAGTTTACCGTTTGGTCTGGTATATGCGCTCTCCAATACCCAACTTGGAAGTGGTATATAGAAGTTTCATTTCAGCCTCAGAAGCCTGGACCTCATTTAACTTACTAAGCAATTCGGCACGCTACAGAAAAAAAAATATAATCACTGTTAGAACTGTTGTACTGACAAAAAAAGATTTAAGTTCTATCTTTTTCAGCTACCAAATCAACTGGAGTTTAGCTGAAGTAAACACAAGAGGGCCAGAACATACTATATTTGCAGGCTGGGAAAAACCACAATAAGTTAAAAAGGGTGCTATGGAGGTATCAGCAGTGAAATCACGAGCAAGGTTGGTCAAGAATCACCATCCTACTTATTTCTCTACATTTTAATTAATGGAATTTTATCTCATATTTTGGTACAATAGGGGTATTGGAGCTTTTCACTCCACTACTCATCTTGAAAAGGCAATGTATGCCCAATTTTCTCTCTTTCTCTATTTAAAAAAAACTTTCTCTGTGGGATGACAGAGTGACATCACCACATTAGTCTATGTCCCACCTGCCTCCACCTTCCCCAGTGCTTGCCTGCTGCTTGGGGAGGTCCCAGAGCAGCCCCCTTGCATGGTGCTCCGGGGTGGACAGAGCCATGCAGTTCCTCTCCCATTCTCCCTGGTGCTCAGGGGGGCCCCAAGCCAGGAGCTGTATGGCCTTTCCTCTCCCCTCTCCTCCAATGCTCTGGGAGGGGGGGCTGAAGCCAGGCAGCCCAGGAGCCACACGGCTTTTGCCCTCCCCGATGCTCCCAAGCTCATGCTCAAGGTGAAGTAAGCCACAAGTCATGAGGCCCTGGGAGCCACATGGCTTCTCTCCTCCTCCTGCCCCACTGTTGGATGGGCGGAAGCTGCAAGCTATGAAGCTTCACTCCACCCCCACCTCTGTACTCCTGGGCCTCACCCTTCCCCACTCTGGTGATCTGGGGGGAGGGAGCCGCACACCTTCCCTGCTCACCAGCCCCCCCTAACACACACACCCAAAGCTGGGGGGAGGCAGAAGAGAACCAGACCAACCTTGCCCCAAGGGCCCTCCCTGGCAGCTGAAGGGAGGAAAGAGCCAAGGCTTGAGGGTGGAGGGAAGCAGCTGGGCAGGGGTAGAGGATGTGTGGAGAGCAGAGGCAGGCCTAGGGTGGGCTTGGTCTCTCCCTGAGGGGAAGAGTCTTGGTCCGGCCCAACCCCCAATGGCCAGAGGGAGAAAGCCAGGACACCTTTGGCCTGGTCCAACCCACTAGCAGCCCGAGGGAGAGAGCCAGGCTTGGCCCAACCCTGCCAGTGGTCGGGAGTGGGGAGAGAGACACAGGATGTGTGGAGAGCAGAGGCAGGCCTAGGGTGGGCTTGGTCTCTCCCTGAGGGGAAGAGTCTTGGTCCGGCCCAACCCCCAATGGCCAGAGGGAGAAAGCCAGGACACCTTTGGCCTGGTCCAACCCACTAGCAGCCCGAGGGAGAGAGCCAGGCTTGGCCCAACCCTGCCAGTGGTCGGGAGTGGGGAGAGAGACACAACTGTGGGCTCCCCACTGCATGGGGAGGAGGGTGAACTCCCACCACGAGGAGCCACCTGGGAAGCGGCTGTAGACAGCACTTGGAGAACCACTGGTCAAGAGACACTTCTCTGCTCACTCAAGCTGGTGATAGGCAATGCTATAAAGGAGAAAATACTTGCTTATATTCCCAGAGAAGCTACTCTGGAATCCTATTGACAACAATCCTACTCAAACACTTGTTTTCTTTATCACTTCCTCAACCATTACTGAGCAAAGCCAAAATGCAACATACCTGGGTTTTCTTTTCTTTCTGCTCTAAAACTTTTTGTAAGATTTTCCTCTGCCTTTTGCTCAAAGGCTTCTTCTCTTGTTTTGTATCACAAGCTACTTTTTTCGTCTTTGTCTTTTTAGATGGCAGGACCAGGGCATTACTTTCATCCACTCCTTTTAACTTCACATCATCTGAAAGTATCAGTTTTTGTCAGTCACAAGGCCTAAACAGCTTATTCTTAACAGAATTCTTGCAAAGCTTGCTGATTTTAAATAAAAGAGCAATAACAACAATTATATTACTGATTAAGCCATTATGATGGCTGCACAGGGAAACAATGCTCCTCCTTTCCTTATGCATGCTTTCATGATAAAATCTGTTTAATTTTTTAAAGTAATATCACCATGAAAAAGGCTGAGTTTTCATAATCAAAACATTGGACTAAATAATCCTTCCATGGGAAGTGAATACTACATTGATTTCCATAATTAAGAGATGGTACAAACTAGGGCTATTAGCATGTAGTTGTTAACATGATTGACCGATAAGCCCTGGCTTATCAGTTAATACTAACAACTACACACAGCTGCTCCCTTGCTGCCTCTATATCGGAAGCAGCAAGGGCAGGGGAGGCAGGGGCACCCGTTCTTCACATGTGCCGGCTCCCTCAGAGCAGCCTGCCCTTCCTACCACTTTCCACAGAGGCAGCAGGGGGGTAGGAGGTGGAAGTCAGTGCTTGGGGGAAGCCAGCTTAAAAGTATCAGCTCCGGTGCAGTTGTCTGTCCCCTCCTCCCCCCATCAGAGGCAGCAGCATTGGCAGGTGCAGGGGGAGAGTGCAGGAAGAAGCCAATAC